TCTATCTTCTTTTTCCCGTGTTATGGCGGTTGTTTACATTTTTTCTGTAATGCTTCTGGGTGTCAACTGGTAACCATGGCAACCCAATTTTTAACATCACAACACTATGAACTTTGGTGAGGGTGGACAATGGGACTGGGCCTTCTTCCTCTGCAGTGGTTTAAAGGACAATCAGCTCCACCTGCTGTGTAACTGATGTTCTGGAAATTTGGTTGAAATTTGGAAACAGCTAACCAGGAAACTGGAGGCTACACCGGCACAGTCTGTCCCTGTCCCAAGTAAAGGACGTTGTCACAAAACACAAAAACCTTTCGGATGGCAAGACTGTCAGAGACACGTTCTCATCCCGTCAACAAAAAAAAATCTAGTGAACGCACAATGTTGTGGAATGATGAAATAAAAGGCAGCATGTGGTGAATTCATGTGTATCAGAGGAGTGAAGACTTTTGTGTGAGGGAAGGAAGTAAACGGAGGAACAAAGGTGAAAAAGTCTATACAAGAACACACAAAACATCTAATGCATACGTTACAACTTTCTTTTCAGTTTAAGAGCTAGTTGTTGTGTTAGGAACACAAACGTTTTCGTAGCCTGTTGTACAGTTTGAATTTTATTCTGAGTTTTAACTGTTGTATTTTGAGTTTTAGCACCTCACGTGCACAAAGGGACAGAGTCTGCTTGTGTTTGTCTCAGAAGCAACTTCACATCTGTTTACAATCGATGAAGAACACGTGAAACCCAGACAAGTTGAAGATGAAACAAACAGCTTCTGCAGATGTGAAGTTGTCAGTTTGTACAGGACGTAGGAGAGATTGCACCAAAATAAAAGACCTACAGTATCCTCAACGGTACGTTTGGGAGAAAAACCCATGAAATATCCTGTAACACACTCTAATGTGAAAAATGCAAAGTACAGTATTAGTTTTTTAAATTCTCATTTAATAAGAGTTTAGGTCTTGGCTGCACAGAGTGTCACTGTTTTCTTTATTTTGATGTACAAAATCCAGGCTGTTTTATTAATGATGTATTACAAACCTGCAATAAAGTGAAATGTTCTCAAGTGTCTCATCTTCAAACACATTCGCACCTGCAGCCTCGCAAGGAAACTGAAACCATGCAGACTGCACACAGAAGAGACAGTGTGTAAGATTTTTTAATTCACTATGGGGAAACCAATGGAAATGATTTCATTATAACTTCGACCCTCCGATGAAAATCCAGTGTTTCACCTTGTTAACATCCATATGATGTTTTTATAGAATACAGACATGATGAGAGAAATAATCATCAACACCATGACTGAGTGTTTCCACCTTGAACTGCAGTGAACCAATGACAGTCTCATAAACACAGATTCAGACAGTCAGGGTTTCATATGTCACAAACCTAAGGAACAGGACCCCCCCCCAAAACAATGCACGGTTATGAGCTAGCACAATAATAAGTTACTATGTTCATTTATATAAACCAGAGGATTAGACGCTTCTGCTTCCAAATGCGCTGATTATTGTTTGCTTCATCAAAACTTTAATCCAGATAGAGGGTGAGATGTGACATCATGGTTGTACGGCTGCCAAGTGCTAATAACAGGGATGAAGGTTAGTCACTGTAAGCATGCAGGCCATGACGGCTCCAGCAGCTTATACTTGCGCAACCTTTCCCACATTATTTTCTGTCCTACCTTCTGACCACAGAAGTCTTGCATTAACACATCCACATTAACCACCACGACTGGAGGAAAACTACTGCTGGTAGTGTGTCTATGTAACAACTATAACTGAACTGAATCATGTGCAAGTCAGTTTCAGACTATATAAAGGTCGACGTAGCCTCTGTGACATCACCCAAAGGTTTCTGAAGAGCAGTTTTGGAGCTGCTCCACAGTCGCCATGTCAGTAATGCCTGGTCAAAGAGGTGGAGCGTGTGTGGAGCTCAGACTTCAGTGCATAACATTAAGTTTAATAACTGTGGCAAGCATATGCTCTGGTTAGCATCGTTAGCACAGCTGGGGGTCTGGGCGTCTTGCTCGAAGGCTAACCCATAGCTAATTCATTTACTGGCTACTTAGCTAATCAACGAGCTAAGCTAACAAGCACTGACAGATACCTGCTAAATAGTGTGAGAGGTCACTTTCAGTGACTCGAATTAGTTGAGGTGACGTCTATTAGACACTGAAGGGCAAGCCAACTGTGACCCACCTGTAACTCAAACTTTAAGCCTAAATAAAAGGTAAACAGGTGAGTTATATAAACAGTTGTCCTGAAGGAGGAAATTAGCTCGAGACCAAAAGTTTTTTTTTTACCAGGCTGTAAACATGTTTATTTCTGCTGTAAAGTTGGACATTTTAACATGGGAGTCTATGGGGACTGACTCACTGTTGGAACCAAACTGTTGTGGTCTTTAGAGGAACTGCAGGTTTTGGTTCTTCACTGTTGGCTTCATGTTTCAGCCCTTGATGCTTGGTCAGTACCCATCCACAGAAACAGACTGAAAGGATTTGGAGGTGCAGGTGGACTCACTCAGTGGCCATTCTCAGTTATCATTACAAACTGTACAGGGTTAGCTTAGCATAGCAGTGCCTCTATGCTAACAGAGGGAGGTTAAAACAAATGTTATTTGTCTAAGAAACCAAACAAATGGAACATAGTGTTGCGGATTTTAATATTTTGATATTGGTTTTTAATATTTCTTTTGTACAAGTGGACATTCTGGTGTGATGATGGTGCTGCTGCTAAATGGTCTGAGTCACCAAAAACATAACATTCAGAAAGGGCCGTGTTTCTGATGTGTAGTGTCATGGTGCCATGTCATGGAAATAAGCGATGGTTGCGCTAAAGGAAAGGACAGGAAGGAGACCCCCCCTGCAGGGACCATGAATATTCATGTTAAATATCACAGGAATATGAACAGTGGACAGGATATCTGGCTCAGGACCCACAAACAGGAAAATAATGTAAGAAGGTGATGAGTATGTCCTTTGCAAGAGTCAGTTGTGGAATTTGAATCAAGTGAAGCTTTGTATTTTCAGCAGGTGCAGTGAGAGACTAGTCACCACTCTTTAATCAGTCTTAGAATAAATATAGTGTCATCTGTACACAGACACAACAGCAACAAGACCTGCACTGCACTTTGTAGCATTTAGGACTTTTGGGCGTTGACCACACGGACGCCCCGAGGTACCCTGGAGAGCAGTGAAGGCTGACGAGGTGTGAGAGCTACACAGGTTTCTGCTGCTGATAGAAAACTGTGAGAACCATTATTTCTGCTCTACGAACAGTGGACATCATAAAGCCTACAACTCATTCGCCATCACTGTCATCACACACAGAGTAATGCTGGACTAAGGCAAAAACGGAGAGACGGAAATAGAGTGCATATATCAGCAGAATCCTTTAAAACAACAGAATATACCATAGTGTTTCCAGGTCCCCACATATTTAATTTTTTTTAATCAGACAGAAAGGTTTAAAATCATCAGGGACAGTCGAGTTTGTTGGAGGCAGGAGGTCGATCATGAAGGCCACAAAACAAAAGAAAGAACAACAGCACTGTGCATGAAGCTAAAACATCAACAGGTGAGCTAAATGACTCTGGTGCACCATGGTTTGTAGCTGTAGCATGATGCTATTAGGATGTTAGCTGACTATAGCAGACTAGCTACTGGCAATAAGACAAGCTAATCATAGAGGCTGACATCATTATGCTGTTGTGTGACGTACGTCCTCTCTCAGGAAATACTGCGTGCTATTTTTTAAAGTCACAAATCTATAACTGATCTACACTGAGCACTGTGACGTGTGGTGACATGAGAGGGTGCTGTGCAAAGAAGTGTGTCAGCAGATCTGTTAGCGAAGTGGCAACAGGCTGAGAAGTGTTGGCATCTGAGCATCTTGAAGCGAGGTCGGCGTTCCTCTGTAGAATGGCGGGAAAATGAAACACAAAATATCCAAAATTCAGACGAGTGGAGTCCAAATGCTGTCGGGCCGGGGTGACAGTCCTCACTCACTCTCCATCTGTTCTCCAGACACAGTCTGTCTTCAGCAGGTCTGATGGTAGTAGGGAGGGGAGATGTGTGTGTGTGCATATGTGTGTGTGTGTGTGTGTGTGTGTGGCCTTCCACCACATGACCGTTCCTACCTACAGGACAAGGAGCTTCTGTTGCAGTTAATGACACATTATCTCTGATTAATCTGCACATTTGTACAAGAGAAGAAGAAAATCATGTCATTACAGTCCAGACCAAAAACATCACAGTAAACAGTTCATCATACATCAGTGCACCACACACAAACTGTGTTTTGGTAATAAAAGTGATTTTAAGTTTCAGAACTGTTCAGTCCTGGTTGATTTGGTTGTTTACTAGTCAACAACATCTGTTGACTGACTTCAGTACAGTTTATTAGAAAACTGTACTAATGATCCATTGTTGTCCTTTGCATCATGTCCAGTGCATAGTGTCAATCTACTGTCAGTCCCTTTTGCATTGGTGCACAATGTGAATCCTGCACAGCACAGGCAGACTCAGAGGTAAACACAGAATGTAAATACATTCAAAGGCTGTTGCTCAAAATCTGCTCAAGATCAACAGAATCAACATGAAGACATGATTTCATGAAAATCTTAAGGATTAGAACTGTAAGACAGCGAGCGGTCGCCACTGCATCTGCCGCCCCGCGACATGATGGTTATACACTTCAGATGGATGGCAAAGAAAAAAAAGGGGCTGGTGGAGCAGGTGACTGTTACCTGACAGGAGCTTCAGCCATCCTTTCCTTACAATACCTTTTCCTTACAAGAATTAATAATACATCCTGTGAGCAGCTACGTCTTCAGGACAAACTGGAGGCTACAGTGAGGAGACGGGCCGGGGCTAGCTGGTTAGCATGCTAACTTCAGTCGAAGAAAAGAGTTAACATTGGTGTTTCTTCTAGACTGGTAAGTAAACAGCTGCTAATGCTAACGCTAGCTATGGTTCAGTAGCAAAACTCACATATAGCTCCTTTAATGTAGAGGAAATGGTGAGCCATATTACACCATTAACATTAACCATGATCGCTGCTGCTGAGGGGGTGTACGATTCCGGGAACTCAGATCCTCCAACATAATCTTTCTTTGCATGGCTTCTCTGGTTGCCATGGTGACACGGTGAGTATCAGTAGGACCGTACATTCAGGCTCTACCTGCCACTGCTGCCTAATTCAGCAGCTGTTTACTGCCTGAAAGCACCTGTAATGTTGCTGGTAGCGTGTAAGGGAAACAATTTAATCTTAATTAGCTAATGTTTTACCATATTTACTAACTCTGGTATTCACTGCTTTCCAATCCATGATCAAAACTTTGCTGATACATAACCTGAAGTAAAACAGAACCCACAGATGTTTTAATCTTACAAAACAAACTCAGAGTGTGTCAGAGCTAATGTGTCAGTAACTGCAACGGAAGGTCCTGATACAGTAGTAAGGGAAGTTTGCGTAGTGACAGAGACGAGCACCTCAACACATATTCACAGGTTTTAGTCAAATGTCTCCCACCTCCTCCGAAGGTCCTCCACCTTCTTTTTCTGTGGTGTAGCGGGCTTGGCCATAGTCAGCAGGTCCCCGAAGGGATCCTGAGTCTTCTGGCTGTCGCCCTCAGCACGAAGCGGCTTTGCCAGAGGGTTCATAGCTGTGGGGGGGGCAGACATGGAGTCTGCCAGGCTGGAAAGGGCGTGATTGCTAGCAGAGGAGGGAGGCAGGGAGGTGACGGAGGAGGGGAAGGTCGACTGGAGCAGTCCGTAGCTGGGCGGCAGGGTGGAACTGCCCGGTGAATGCTGTCTGTAGAGCCCTGGTAGTGTGGAGAAGGACTGTGGCTGCTGTGGAGTGTGTAGGTAGGAGCCTGGTGGGGGCCCACAGACTGCACTGAAGGGGTTCCCACTGACAGTCGGTGAGTAGTGCATGTGAGAGGAGGTGTGCTGCAGAACCTGGGCAAAGGGGTTGAGTGATATGTGAGGGTGCACTGGGTAAGGAGGCAAGCCCTGTGGGTACGACCTGGGGGGTAGCGTTGGTTTGCAGGAAGAGGACGACATACCAATATCTACCCCGTCATGTAGTGAAGTGGAGCTGGTCTGTGCTGAGCTGTTGAGGGGGTCTAGAAGGCTAATCAGATCTATACTGTCCCTGCTGGGCTTCAGCAGGTCTTCATCTGTAGTCATGCTCAGCGCTTGCCTGAACTCTTGCCCCCCTAATGTAGTCCTTCCCTCACTGGCTCCTGCTGCTTTAGAGCGTGACTGGGCCACCGGTGGCGCGAGGACCGTACCAAGCTCCGGCGTCTTTCTTCCGTGTGGACGTGGAATGGTGATGTTGCCGGGGGTGGAGGGCTCCAGAGGGTCGGGGCCCAGGCCAGAGATTTCACAGCTTGGGGAGTGGGCTTCTGGCTGCACAGGAAGTTGGACAGACGGAGGTCTGTCACAGGGAGGGGGCGCACAAACAGGCAAGGCCGTTTCATCCTGGCCTACGCTCCACAGCTTGTTGTAAGGGTTGGAGAGCTTGAGGCCCGGCAGCGTTCGCGAGTGTTCGCCGACACTCAGGTCCATCCGCTGCAAACACAAGAGAGCATTCAGACTGAGGTTTGAATCCATCTTAAACCTCGGGACCAGATCTGGAATCTGGACCAAATATTGTCTTTTGGGAAATAACACTATGAAGCAGAACATCTGACCTGGTAGGTAAACTTGGCTTGTAGCTCCCCAGGGTCTTTGGGGGTCCTCAGGTCCTCGAGGCTTTTAGCCAAGGTCATCGGCTGGCTGTCCGGCTCGTCGTGGCAGCCAAAGATATCGCCAAGCAGGTTGATGTTGGAGAACTTTTCGTTGACTGGGCTGGGAGGGGCAGTGTGACTCTCTGCCCCAAAACCAGGATCATCCCCTTCTATCAACTCCACCTCCTTCAGGGAGCGGTACGGCTGTGGCCTGCAGGGACAGTGTGAGTCATTGTTATTCACTTCCCTCACTTCATGGATCAAAACACTCAAACTGAAAAAGGACCATTGACCTTTTAGCAGAAATATAGATGGACCTCATCTTGGCAAAGGATGCTTTTTGAAGTCTAAAGTAGTGGGTGTATGGTTAACACGTCTGTAAGACTCTTCACAGCACTGTGGCATTGAATCCACAGACTCTCAGTGCTTTTAAAAGTCCAACTAAAGGGGGAACTGTGGAGATACTCTAAAAGCCTGTGGTGTCAACAGGTTATGGGAGAAACCTGAGCTTTCTATACTGTTTTATACTCATGGTTGACATCGTGCTTCAACCCAGTTTACATGCTGACTGTAATACAGAAAAATGCATGTGCATGCAGGAAGTGGTGCGCAATATGGATAGAATCTTTTTTCATATACAGCGATGTATATGACAAATATGATACATCTAATCTTCTTGAAACCATTTACAGTTAAAACAGCCTGGGGTCTGTTTTCTGCTGATCCAGTGAAGTGATGATTGACCCTGACAGATCTGGAAACTTCATCCTGTTGATGTGAAAGTTTGCACCAGCAGACCTGCTCACTAAGCCTGATACAACCAGAGATGTTAAAGGGAGAGCTGGTGGAAATATTGTCACCGAATCTGGTGAAACGTGGGCCAACCAGGGGCCAACTGTTCAATAAATATATGAACTGATGAGGAATGTATCCATCATGCCGCACATGCAGCCGCCTCCTACCCCAGCTCTCACAAGCCATGAAGGTCTGCACTGCAGCATGTCTACACCACTGAAATGATCTTGCTGCAAATATAAAAAGATGGATTCACTGTTAAAATGTATTGATCCTGAGAGCGTTACCAAGAGGGACACGCCTTCAAGTCCACGACCACACATGGGAAAGTGGTGTACGGGAGGGATTTGCACTGGTGTTATTTAGTTCAGGTTAGTATGCAGGTCTGTTTGGTGTGTTATCTCCCACATAGCTAAATTATTATTGTGTTTCTTCTGGTTCAATATACGCCTGGTTCCTCAACCCAAGTCCGGCCCACATACAAGCACGACTGGCTGCTTCCACATCTGGACTGATTCTGGTGCACACACACAAAATGTTCCTGGCTGTTGGCCACCACTGGAGGATAACAGCCGGAGTCAGTATATGAGCCAGACTTGGGCCGAGGACCCGGGCACATGTAGGACCACAAGTTTCATTTTACTGTGGATCCACACAACGCCAGTACACTGCATCATGTATACTTTAATAATACTGTTGACACTAGTGCACACCAGTGCTGTACTAGACTTTGTGTTAATGTGGCATGTTGACCCAGTGGTGGTACGTCACAGGGGCGACATAACTGTTTTTCACTGACAGTGGGCGCCGTGTATGGAGGAGCAGGAGCGTCACAGGAAGAGCAATGAAGCATTTCCATAATTTCATATTTTAATAGGCATTAAAGATAAATTGTGAAAAGAATTTATAAATGAACGATCCATCAATGAATGCTTCAGATTTAAAAATGGATTTGCAAAAACAACATAAAACATTCATTAAATAAATATTCAAATAGTTCATATTGTATTATTTATTCATGAATTACTAAATGTATTTATAAATTGTCTATGTAATGAGTTTTATGCTGTTTTGTGAATCCATTTTTAATTGTTAAGTATTTAATGATGTTATTAATTGTTCATTTATAAATTCTTTTTACGATTCTTATTTTTAATGCCTATTAAAATATGAAATGATGGAAATGCTTTATTGCTTTTCCTGTGACATCCCTGCTCCTGCATAGATGTGAATGTGCCGGTCCCACTGACACTTGCTTTTATACACAACTGATAGACAAACCCTCTACAATGACTACAACACCATAACACACACACACACACACACACACACACACACACACACACACACACACACACACACACACACACACACACACACACACACACACAGATTTCAATGGAAAAAAAGAGTTGATTTGAGAAAAGCTTATTAATGAGCGAACAGTGCAGAGCCACAGAGAGAGAGAGAGAGAGAGATGCGTACAGAGGCGACCACTCAAAAGGGACGGAGAAGAGAAAGCTGTCAGGAAACCCAGAGATGGAGTCATCGTCGTACTGGAGCTCGTCTCCGGACGAATCCTCCGAGAGAAAGACTGTGTAGTGACGAGTGGGACGGATAGAGCTACGGCGAGGAGAGGGAAAACAACAGGAAACACACAGCTCATTACAGGTGTGTTAATCAAGTCCAGAAACAGGAGAAGTAAAGAGAAGGAACATTAAGAAAAGGAAGATTAGTGATAACAGTATCAGGTTTTATATTCATTTACATGCAGTGTGTTAGTGTTATAGATAGTTATATCATGTGATTTACTGCTGAATGTGAAGTCAGTTAAAAAAGGATTAGTGGTAATTAGATCACGATGACACAAACAAACAAACCAATAAACAACATCTGTAAATGTTGTACTCAAACACTTTGATTCAGCTTGTTCCACTGCAGCAGCTGTTCACAGCTGGAACACAGTTAACACGGCTCTGTAACTGACTTCAGTGTCTGCAAACTGTCGTGAGGAACGTCACTGAAGCTCCAAATAAAACTCATCATTTCATTTGTAGGTTTTAATCCAAATCCTCTTGAAGTTAAATGAAGCATCTGAAGATTTTATCTGAAGACTGAGACTCCTGAGACTCTGCTCAGCAACTGCTGCTACAACTGTTCATCGTCATTATTATTAATACTTTACATCTCTGTGGAACCTGCATTGTGCTCCTTCCTCCTGCTCGCTCTCCTCAAAATACAATATCCAACAAACAGCATGAAGCATCACGGCCCCTCTGAGGCTTTTACTGTGAAGGAGCTGCAGTTTTAATCTTAGTGTAATTAACAGAGACGTGATGTCCGGGAGGAACACACTGGCTTTTCTTAACAGTGACATTTCTTACTCAGCTCTGCAAACTATAAAGAACCCTCTGAGCAGTTTGACCTCAGAGTTACTGCACTGACTCTCAGAAGTGTACATGTCATTTCTTAAGTACACACAGACAGTGGGACACACTGGATGTAATGGAGGGAGGCTTACTGGTCAACGCTGCTTTCCAGACTCACATTGCTGCTCGGTCTCTTCAACAACATGGGGGGCCGCGCCTGTGGAGGGAAATGAATAAGATAAGAAAACAGGAACAAGTTATCTGCACCATCATCGGCTTCTCAGTGAGGAACATTTTAGAAGTGTATCATGTTTGTGTGAATCTGGACGTCCAAATCAACTAAAGAGGACTTCAGTAGAGGAAATAAAGCTACTGTGAGGCAGGCAGCCTGAGTCTGATGGAGAGCTACAGGGGAGAGAGGGCCGCAGAGGAAATGGGACCAAATGTGCACAGACAATAAAGAGATGTGTGGAGGTCACAGGTAAGAGTGAGGGGAGAGATAAAGAGAGAGATAGCACAGACCTCTCTGTACTGTACAGAAGAGCGATTACACTAAACACATCGGATTACAAAGGTGTGACGCCTAGCAACACTAGCATCTGGTTATACAATATGGTAAGCTGATAGAAAAGGTTAGAATTGTGATGGATGATAAGTCCCGGGTAAAAACTAGAATCACCTCCTTGTGGTTGTATCCCTCCTCCACTCAGACTAGTTCCAGGTTACATCCTGTTCGTCCAGAGTCATATCAAATATGAAGCATTTGAGTGAAATTGTCATAATTGCTGTGCGAAGTCTTGAGTAATGGCACTGTGCCTTTGACCTTTGACCACCAAAATCGAATCAGTTTGTCCTCGAGTCCAAATGAATGTTTGTGACAAATTTGAAGAAGTTCCATCAAGGCGTTACTGAGATATCGTGTCCGCGAGAATGAGACGGACGGACGAACAACCTGAAAACAATATACCTCCGGCTCTGACTGTCACTGACGCTGAGGCATAAAAACGTCCATGAGTGAAATGAATGTAACATTTCAGAGTTGTGTTGTTGAGTCTCTATCATCACAGGGAAGCGTCAAGTCTTTGTAAACTGCACGCTGTGCATCGTGTCATTTTCTTCTTGCAATTTGGAAACTTTTCTACTATTTCTCCAACACAAACACGTTTAATGAAAACCATCCACAGCCTCACATGTTCAAACAAACCAGTGAGGGCGGATGAATAGTTAGTTAGTTAGTTAGTTGGTTAAGTTGGTTAGTTAGTTAAAGACTTTATTGTCTAGTGTGGAAAGTTATCTTTGACTTCACTGCACCGTTAAAACATAATTCAATAAAGAACAATAGTGAGAACAAGAGACTTGAGTTTAGTGTGAAATACATGAAAATATAAAATATGATTGAATAAAATGAGAGAAGGACTAAAGCTAACTTGTGTATACATTTCTGGTGGCCAGCTGCTCTTGTGTTTACTGTCAGTCGGACTCAGACAAGCGCTCACACTTCTTGTCCTGATAGACGCTGTTCTGCTCAAGTCCTTGTTTCTACAAATCTCTACAACGGAGCTGGTGGGTGCAACGTTAGCACGACCAGAGAACCAGAGTGGCCACATTAATATGGGAAATATGCCCGGCTTAAATGAACTGGAATTAATGCCTTTTCAGTAAAGGGATTTTCCTTTTAAACACTTCTTTTGAGGCTTTCTTTGAGTCATAACTCTGTCAAACATATGATGCACCGATTACTCTTTATGATGATGTCACTACATCTAATGTTAATCCTGAATAATGTCCACAAATCCACTGAGAAAGAAGAGAGAAAGAAGACAAGAATGTGGAGTGGGGTGTAGAAAGGTGCAAAAATCTGAAGACATTTATAAATTTATACCATTTCAGGATCATTTCTGCCAACCTGTCCAAAGTGCACGGTGATTGGCCTGTGGTCATCCCAGGTGTGCAGTGGCCCCTCCCTCCTGACTGCACCGGTGGAGGAGGTAACGCCCGCTGAGCCGTCATCATCGATGACTGCGGATCCTCCGGTAGAGAGGCCGTTTTCCGCCTGCTCCTGAAGAGGGGGGACACAGGGAAGTCGAAATGGGTGAGAGGGGTGATGACACTGCAGGGGGAGGGGGAGGGAGGCTGCACGCCGTGGCTGGGGTGGGGTTCAGTTAAGGTAAGTCAGGGTGATGTTTAAGGTATTTTTTGTGAGAGAGAGACCAAGAACTGTCACTTCCTGTGCTGCTGTCACCAGAGTAACAGTGTTTACGGCAACGGAGCAGAGCCACTTACCTTCTGCTTCAAGCGGCTCTTCACTTCCTTTATACGCATCTTAGCGTGATCCTTAGCCTGTCAATCAAACACAGAAAGAGCCACATCACTGCCATGTTCACCTCTACCTGACACTTCATTCTCTACCTTCTACCAGGATCCATGGACGTGCTTACAAACTTGTAAACGGTCTTCATGGCCGGGTTCGCCTTGGTCTTCACTGTGTTGAAGATAGCCCCGCCCCCTTTCTGTGAGAAAACATCAACACAAAACTTAGTGACGGACACACGGACGAACTGGTAGGGCTGACGTGTGAAAAGACTGTTCTCACACAGCACACGGATGAACTGTGCAAGAGCATGAAGTAGATAGCATCACCTAGAGGCTGCAGGATTCATTACAGACACAACACTAGAGACTGTTTCACCTCATACAGACGTGTTTCTGTTATTCAGCCATTTTAATTAGTATTGCAATGATACACACTCAGTGACCACTGCATGACTTTTAATCACTTTTAAGGCTCCTTCTGAAATCTCAGAGCTGCTCTCCCCTTATGACCAAACACACACACACACACTTTAAAAACATACCAAGTTTAAAACACTACTCAAAAAATACTTGTATTAAGCAGCTTTTAATTGTTGACTGTTTTTTACTTTTGGTTTTATTTTCTATGGTTGCATATTTTTTATTGATTTAATAGTTTTAACATATGTGTTTGTAATTCTCCCTGTTATACTTGTCTTGCCAATTCACACTTTACCTCTGTTCTCTGTCTTTTATTGCTTTGTTTTGAGTTTTGTTTGTGCAGCACTTTGTAACTCTGTTTTGAAAAGTGCTACAAACACATTCAAATATAATGCAGTCCCCAACAAACATGTTGTCTAATTAAACAAAAACGGGTAATATCAAGCTTCATCAAAGTAGAAGAGCTGTTGTACTGGACTGTATTAGGCTGCATAGGTGTACCTAATAAAGTGGTCAGGCAGTGCAGGTTCCAGGAAACCTTTTCCAGAATAAATTGAGGTTCCATAAGCATCAGTAACTTTGCATTCTGGTCAGAAGTTGTTGAGATCTGTTTTCCTGGATCAAAGTGGTGGATCGATGGACAGACATATGACCTGCACTGACATCACTGGTTCCTGCTGTTAGCACCACAAAACCAAGTGGCAGAAAAATCCCTGTATTATATTCTTTAGAGTCACATGCTGTGTGTGTGGGTTACAACATTCAGACCAGCTCACCTTCACAGTGAACAGCCACTGGTGGTAGGTCTTGTCACTGCCTGTGGGGGGAAGGTCAGGAAAATAAAAGGTCAACATCATCGTGCTGGGTACAAGCTGAGAATGTGGAGGAGTCCAGTCTGGACTCTGCTGATGAACGTGAGCTGTCCATCTATGTCTTGGGGGGTTACAGTGGATACTTATCAGGACAGACACATTTCACTTGCATTTACGATAACCAGTAATAATGAGCAGAGGTTAAACGATGGCAGCTGCACGAGGTTATCTGCATGATCTGTTCGTTTCCATGCCAAACAAACACAACAGCGCATTTATCAGGTGTCCTCTGTTATTTGTGTGATCCTCCTTTAAATGAATAAAACACAAGTTGTCGGTGCTCCTCAGTGTCTATGCTCCTGTTTGACTCACCTGCGTATTCACTCATGTTGATCTCCTCCTCGAAGATGTCACTGAAACCTTCCCCTGAGTTCAGCAGGTCCAGACGGCCGTCAATGAACTGCAGGGAGAAACATAATGTGTGTGAGGCCGCAAGACCAAGGGTTAAACAAAGATGTGTGAGTGTGTGTGTGGGAGCCTATAGTTGTGGGGTTCGACAGCTTTGTGGGGGCTGCACAAGTTTAAACGGCTGTTAGAATTAGGCCAGGGTAAGGGTTGAGGTGAGGCATTAGGGTAAGAGACTAGGTAATGCATTCTGTCAATGACAAGTCCCCATAAAGATAGCTGTACAAACATCATTATCTCAGGTTTAAACCATCGTATTGACCAAACCTTACTACGTGAAAGGACTGGTTGAAGGTTAAGACTTGGTTTTAAGGTTAAGGTAAGGGTTAAGGTAAGGCTTGAGATTAGGCAGTTTGTATGAGACATCTTTGAGATGGAATTCAGCATATGACCAGCAGGGGGCAGTACCAGTAACTAAGGCAAACATACTCTATAACAGAAGATGACACATTACAAGCAGCGCCAATGGTACGAAATGGTTTACACTTCCTGTCTCCTAAGTGGGCGTGGTCATGATTGATCAGTCTCATACTCTCTGTTTTCCCTCCAAAACAGTTCAATAATCATAAGAATAACAGTATTATTATCAGTTTGAACTTTTACATCATAGTTGCATGTTCAGGTCCCTCTAAACTTCTGCAGTTGGAAAGGAAGTTTATCAGTGACATTAGAGGCTTGGAAATGCATTATGTCAACGAGGGCCCTGACAAGCATAGACAGACAATCAGCTGAGTACCTGTTTGAAGAGCTGCAGCTGAATGGCGTTCTGCAGGAACTGTCTCATGGCACTGGAGCGATGATTCACAAAGGTTTCTTCATTAAATGTTATCGGCTCTCCCTGAAAATGAAGGAAAACACAGCAACTGTCAGAGTACACACACACACACACACACACTTCTGATCCAGTACCCACAGCCACATGAAAGCATCAATCCCAACTCTACCGCTGTCAGATCTGCAGCGTGTACTGACCGACTCTATCTGCAGAGCGTTCCTGTAGCTGCCGAACAGAGCCGCCTGACTCTTGAGGAAGGCTCGAGCTACGCCGTCCCCCGTTGTCGTGGAAACCTTCTTCAGACGACTTTTTAAAGACGACACCTGTGGGACGGCAGGTCACAGACGTCAGACCACATCAATTATCTGAGACTGTTTACATCCATGTGTGTACAGCGGTTCCTCACCACATCGTTGGGCAGGCTCTGGAGGTCGTCGAAGGGGGTTTCCAGGGTGTTTGTGTCCACATTCAGGACAACCACATCATCCAGAGCCATCCCTCGGACTTTCTATGAGAGCAGAACATGATATATTGACAATCGACTAAAGACACAAAGTCAGTGTGACTGTAAAGACAGGTGGTTCACCAAGAGTCACCTACCTCCATCAGGCTGGAATGTACTCCGATGAGGTAGGGCATTGGGGCACTGAAAACAAAGAGTTAGAGCCATTGTTACAACATGTATATACAAGGTTCATAGATGGGTCTACTCTCTAGGTCTTAACCTAAGTGTGTCACACTTTGCTTGGCAGATATTAAATCCTGGATGACACAGTTTTCTTTATCTCCTGGATCTGTCTGATCCCAAGTCTAAACTTAAAGCGAATGAAGTTTGATGCTGAATTCACGTTTCCTCTAGACTGGTAAGTAAATAGCTGCTAATGCTAACGTTAGCTACGTAGGAATAGAAAAACTTACAAATAGCTCCTTTAAAATAAAACAATACTTTTAGTTTTTTTTATATGTGTAACGTCACATATAAAAACATTGGAAACGACATCACTGCCTGCAGCAGGAAGCAGACACAGCCTTGAGGTTGTATGCCTCTTTTTTTTTAGGAAAATAAACTCAGTGCTGTTCAACACCTGCAGATGCCTTGATTTTATTATCGCCAGCTTAACAATGAGGAAAAACTGTTCACTTTGCCTCAGCAGTAAAAAAACAAAAACAAAAAAAAAACATAAGCAAATCAGGAAAGAGGACGACGTCTCACTAAAATATGATGAAATACACTCGTAACACTTACAGAACAGTCTGTCTCTGATATGACAGAGGCCTCACTTTCTCTGCAGCCGAGATAAGTGAAGAGCCACTCTGTGAGAGTTACTGTTCATGCTTTAACTTCAGCTCTGTGTCATCATGTGAAGAAAAGCTGAACATAATTTCACTCTCATCGTCATAACATGCAGATAAATCAAATACAAAAGCAACTTCCTGTGACAGACGGGGTTCAGTGGTGTTTGTGCAGATGTACGGATGTGCTGTGTGTGTACAGTCGTTGGACAGCGGACTCACCAGCAGTAGTCTAACAGATGCTGAGGCAGGACAGGAATGTAAACATGTTGCCAGTGCATTGGATACAACATGGCTGCAGACCCATGGACACAAGCTGTTAACTGTGGACAAACACCAAATACATGATGTGTGAGGTTAGATTTTATATATGCAGTTATTTCAACAGTTTAAATAAAATGATCAGAATAAAAACCTACGTCAACAAAATATCATGATATATGTATATACAATGAAATGTATTAGAGTGTATGTTATTACAAAATTCATTTCCATAATATCAGACTTTATCACAAACTATAGAGCCCAGCAGGCGTCACAGAGAGAAAATCATTCATTTTGTTCAGTTCACTTCTTCATATTTATTTTTCAGTTCCTATATTCATACACTTCCTCACTCTTCTACATACAGTCATGATGCCACATGTTCCATGTGTTAAAATGCCAACAATATGTTTCATGCTGTGTTCTGTTCATTCCTGTGTATAAATATGAATTCAAAAGCACCAAATAAATAAAGATGAGTTTGTGTGTTTGTTTCTCTCCATGACACTTTCTGGGCTTCGCAGTAAACTCTCACTCACATTACTGTTACAACTAATGTGCAGAATAAATCACTGTATAGGCCTCTTCATACTTTTGCAGCTCTTCATATGCGAGTATCCACATTTAATAAATAACGTTGCATTTTTGGTTAATCATCTTTCATTTTATTCGAATGGATAAATAGAAACTGACCCACTTAAAGTGGACAATGGTTGTGATGATAGAGCAACTATGACATCAATTCCTTCACTAAACACAGTGACATAAAACTACATAAACCACAAAATATCTTCATGTTTCTAACAAAAACTGTAAAGCCTATCACTCATTTATATTTGGATATTGTCCCACATATCAATAGATATACTGTTTACTGACTTCAGTTTTTATAAAACTTCCAACTCTGGGATTTACTCACCCCGACCTTCAAGTCTAAACATGACAAAACATTTTCTAAACTCTTTTCAGGGAGGTCACAGGGTAAATGTGTACTCCTGTTAACTGTATTTTCTAATAAACCTACTTATTTAAGAGACCAACATGGACAGAGCTGTAGAGGAGAGAAGGAAGAGGAAGTGGACTCTACTTACAGTGCTTAGTTTGCTACAGCAGATGAGGATTCGACGTTCATAAAGCATACTAGCGTACAGATGAAGCATGTTATTGACATCTACTGCTACAAAGTACTCTGTTAGGTTTCTCTGCAGGGGTCAAACACAAGAGGAGAGAAACAGGTGAGTTAGTTGTGAAGGTGAAGACCAGCAGAGCCTCAATTCAGCATGAACAGTATCAACTGGTTCAGATCATAAGACTCAGTATTACACAGAACGTATCCAGTAGACAGTTTACAACAGTAATGCATCATGTTTATAACAGGGCTGCAAGTTAGGAAAAGTACAATTATAGTTCTCATAATAGGTCAAATGTATGACTCTCTATCTCATTATCAATATTCACCAGGTTAAAATGATAACGTTAGAAATGATATGGTAACTCTAGATCAGACTTAATGGATCATCATTTTTAAAAAGTCACATTTGATATCTGATCTGATATTGTCATGTATTTATTCATTTTGTGGTCTTACACACATTTCTGTGAAAATCAGTCAAAAGTCTGAACACTGTAGGTTTATCAATAATCTACATTTTAAACCACCCCTCCCACTGGATGAAGACTAACACTGTGCTCTTTGACACCAGACACATCCATTCACACTCCTCCAGTATGTGTCACAGTATCTTAGCTCGTAAATATTTAGCTTCACAAAAATAAACTTGCAAAATTTTTGGTTTTGAATGTAGCTGCACTAATGATGGACAGTTAAAAAAAAAGAAAAAAAAGAACGATTCTGCTCAGTCAAATATAAGGAAGTTCAGAGGTGTGACTGCAACATCTTTCAGCATCGTATCAGAGTTGCGTCCGTCAGGAAGTGATGAAATCAAACAAAGGGCAAGAGAGAAATAACCAACACTCACGTTCTCAGGTATGCTGGGGAGTTCCCTCGTGTCAGGCACAGTGAAGAAGGAATGCTGGAATAAAGAGAGTCAGCGGTATGAATGACATTCAGGACAGACTGTCTGGTGTGTGGCCTTTCATTCCACCTTAAAGTGTGACAATTTGGCACAACTATACTGTAACAATACTTTCATCAATGTGGTCAGAAACACATTGTATAAACCTGCCAGTTTCTAACATAACACGAATCTTACTATGTCAAACAAATTATTGACAGTACAACACAAAAGAAATGTAATATTTTAATGGATTTGGAACTCGTATTATTCGTCTTACTATTGTCTTATTTTGGGGATAATCATGCTCTAAGTCTTGGAACTACAGCTCACAGGATGATGAGGATTGTGGAACGTTAACAGGAAGTATGATGCCGCCGTGGAGTCAGTAAGTTACTGCAGATGTGGGCCCCACTTTTTTAGCCTATATTTGTTCATATTTTGAACTGGCACAGAAACAGTAGCTGATTTAGCTATTAGCAGCTCCTGTTTGCAGTGCACCCATGGATGTACAGACAATTGTCACTGTCATCTTTTTCTGTGATTTCTAAGCAGATTTATGGACATTGATTCATGATGGACATCTGTGACAATGATTTCCTTGGAAGTGTAAGTCACTCTGCATCTCTAAGTATGTATGTATCTGGTTGGTGCAGGGTTTTAAAGCAGCTTATATCCTCTATGAGCTGTGTGTAACAGCCACTGCAGCAGTTCCAACTGTTGGTGAGCAGCCAAATCAGCTCCTGGCTACAACAATTAGCTGGGTGGAGGTGCACCTCACAGTTTGAAAACCTCATCTATTTTGGTCGCAGTTTGTACTTTAAAGATAAAAATGTCATCAAGTTTCTGATGCTGAAGAAGTGATTCAACCACCAGCAGATTATCATTTTTCTATGGGAGGAAAACAGACTCTTGCAGTGCCTCTAGCTTAAAGTGAACTCAGCTGGATGTGACGTGGTGGAGTCAGACTCACCACACCAAGATGAACCGGGACCCCCGGCTCAGGGATGGGGAGTTCATGTAGTGATAACAGGAGCTCCTGCCACTGGCTTTCCTGAAGGATATGGTAGAGCCAAAATTCACACACAGTCACGTCTTCATGCAAGACACACAAACTTCACTCTATATAACTCCAACATAAACACAGTGACAAGCTGCAGTTTGCACAGAATAATTACTGCAAAGTCATTCCAGACATCTCTCAGTCATGTTATCATCACACAGCAAGTGTGACTGATATTCTGCTGTGTCAGCTTATGGTTGTGAAGAAGCATAAACACTGACATTAACATTCAGATATCTGTCCACACTCCCACAGATACATTTGAAAATGGCTTAAATGGCTTATATGACAATATCAGTGTTATAAATATATCAATTAAAACTAGGCTTGGGCCAATATTCCATTATATTGAATATTGCGATATTTCCTGCCATGTGTTTTTTTTATTTTTTTTATTGCAGTTTAGCTCAGTGTGTCTGAGTCCAACCCTCATTTCACTGCTTTACTTACTGTACATTTAAACCTTGTGACATAAAAAACTTCTGTTTAGTGGCAGCATTGCTTATACCTGAAACATGAAATACAATAATACAATGATATTGTAAATAAAGTTTTTTTAAAAACCCCACCCCTTGGCCATCATATGTGTTAATTATTTCACATAAAATACAAAAGATAAACAACAAACTGTAGGATAAAATTACATGATATATCACAATATTTGGGCTGGATTGTATCAAGTCATACATTTTGGATATCACCCAAGTTTAATTTAAACAGAAACTAGCAGTCTGCTCTAGTTCTCCATGTCTGAAGCCAACTTGACGAATCAGGGAAAACTCTGGAGCAAATTAAATTCACAGAAACAGAAAGAAAAGTTGAAATTTAGCTCAAAAGAAAAACACTGATGAGAGCTGACAAACACTCGCATGTTGAGTTCAGTAATCCGTCAACAAACCAACCAACAGACTGAAGTCTAGAAATCTGATATGACACAAAACGAGAGGAGTCACCCGTCCTCACTCACCTGGCCTTTGATAGTGTAATCTGCCAGGATATTAAGCAGCTTGTAGAAGACTTCAAACCAGGGCAGGTAGCTGAGAGAACAACAAAGAGTTTGTACTTTTACAAAGCGTAACATCACATTGTGACTAATGGCACATCTTAATTAAACACTGTTAAATCTGACATCTTCGGAACTGTAGTCAGCCTTCACTCTAAACCCAGTTGGAAATTTCAGAGTCTGAGACATTTATCTGGTAAACTGGTCGTGAGAGGAGTGATTGGTTCCTTTAACGAGCTCATGAGAGTTACTGTTTCACTTTAAAATCCTTACGCTTTAAAAGGCCCCATCTCTGCTACTTTCTCTATTTGTGAAACAAAGACACACACACTCACACACGCATGAGTGTGGCAAGTGGCACAAAGTAGGGCGGGGTCAATGGCCCCTTCCTTACTTCCAGCTAGGGAGATGTTTGACCTTGCAGATCTTTTGTTTATGAGTTCATCTGGTTTCCTTTTCACTCTCCATGATTTCAACTTCAATTTCCATTTCCTGTTTTAAAAATCTTCTATAGATATGGCAATAATATCGTTATCATGAATTCTTTTGATCTCAACACCAGCAGCTATACTTCCAACACCCATAACCCTGGTGCCCTTGCTTGGACCACATCCATCTTTGAACCCAGCCCAACTACACACCTGCGAAGTTAGTGACTGTATCTTGTTGTTACGCTATTGTGGTGACAAGAGTCTGTCCACAGAAGGAAAGAAAAAGAAAGAAAGAAAGAAAGAAAGAAAGAAAGAAAGACAGACAGACAGACAGACATCTGCCAAGTTCTCAAAACCACCTCTGTGGTACTTGCTGCTATAAAAGGTCTCTCTAGGACCACATTTTGCTATGATCTCACTTACACGCGTGCGTGCGTGCGTACGCGCGCACACACACACACACACACACACACACACACACACACACACACACACACACACACACACACTCACCTGAGAATGCAGTAGCAGGTGTGTGCACCTGAGGACAGGCGACAGAAGCCAAATCTCTGTTTGCTCTCAATGTCAGTCAAGACAAAAGTGAAGTTCTGTCCGACCTGGTTGACTGTCAGGCTGCAGGGAGAGAGAGGTTCAGAAGGCAGAGAGAGAGAGGGAGAGGACAAACGTTTAATCACAGCCCTGCAGACCAGCAGGTTCTGTCCTCTTTGTAGAGGACGGCTAGGAGCTGTTGGAAATCAGAAACTGAAGTTTGATTTACTGAGGATCTGCAGACTGATAGTGTGTGTCCATATTTACTCTGATGTCACCCAGTAGACTTGGGTTAATTGATAACTGTTAATTGATTTTTCATTGTCAACTAACCACTGTGGCAGAGGCAGCTTTCTCTGTGACCGGATGGAAGGACAGAGTGCAGTGAAACACTGAGGAACTCTGAGGCTCTTTCCTCGCCCTCACCACTCTGGTGCCACAGTGGGGATGTGCAGTGGGGATGTGCCACTGACAAACTACACAGCTCAATATTTATGGCATCTCACAGCATCTGCCACTCACCTGGCAACATATCTGACCTACTGTTTTATGAAAGATGAGTTTTAAAACCTCCACATGTGCATCAGTATAACAAATGATGCTGTGCCTTTTAAGACACTGTCACTACAAGTAGTCTGTGTGTGTGTGTGTGTGTGTGTGTGTGTGTGTGTGTGTGTGTGTGTGTGTGTCTGTACCTGTCCATGCTGAAGGGGAAACAGAACTTGGGCACAGTCTGAAGAGTTTCCTGTGGGAAACAGATGAAGGTTAATAAAGAACAGTAGTTACATGAATTATCATAGTATGCACTTCCATTTGTAACATAAATAAAAGAGTGTACACATCATACACTGGTTAGTGTTAGGCCTGTATACAGAAAGAACTACTACCCTGTTTACGTTATGTGGCAGTCCTACAGACTGAAGAACTACAAATCAGCTGTGAGGAAAAGAAAAGGTAAAAGGAAGTACTGTATTCCACACCTGGTCTGTGTAGTCTTCAGGGAACTGCCTCCGCACCTCCGGCTCTGTTAGAAATCACAGACATGAAGTGAGGGTGTACAAGTGACTAGGATCTAACAGAACACATTCAATCAAAATTCATATCTAGACAGACAGGTTCAAGAAAAACTAGAATCACCTCCTCATGGTTTTCTGCCTCCTCCACTTGGACTAGTTTCAGGTTACATCCTGTTTATCCAGACTCTTATACAATATGAAACATTTGTGTGAAATTTTGTCATAATTGCTGTGAAGTCTTGAGTAATGGCTAAAAAGTGTTTTGTACCGTGGCCCTGAGAGCTCAACGCACTGCAAATTCAGAAAACGTCTTCATCAATTTGACAACACATGCAAATAAACAAACACGCTGTACATTCAGTCCTACAAAACAACGCAGTGTTTCTAGGGGACACTAAGAAATGATGAACTTGATGTGTTTTCTTAGGTTGCAGTGTGTTGAGCTCTCAGGGCCACCGTAGTTTTGTGAAGTCATACTGACACCACCAAAGTCTAATCAGTTAGTCCTTGAGTCCAGGTGAACGTTTATATCAAATTTGGAGAAGTTCCATCAAGTCGTTACTGAGATATTGTGTACACGAGAATGGGACATACGAAGGGACAACCTAAAAACAATATGCCTCCAGCTCTGACTCTTGCTGGTGCTGAGGCATAAAAACAATAAATGAAGTTCTGATAATTAATTAATCAGCCTGATTAAACCTCAATCTGAAGGATACCAGCGTGGTTCAGGAGGGATCAGGAAGTCCCATTAAGTACAGTGGAGAGATTCAAGAGGACGGTCAGCAACTAGCACTGCCAGTGACTGGACGTAATCTGGAGTCTCAGTAACATGACCCTCTGCAGCCACCAGACCAAACTCAGGCTTCATGCTGGCCAGTATGAGAGGAGTGCTGCAGTACAGGGCCTCTAACCTGGAAGTCTCACAGGAAAGCAGAGGAAGCAGTGGCCCAGGCTGAATCCCAACTACAGCACAGGGTGCTCATGGGAGTTGTGGCAGGACAAAGATTTTGCCTAAGCAGTGGCACAGTGGGACGCTACGACCATAGACTCTAAATAAAGATGGGCGTAGCCTCTGTAACGTCACCCACAGGTTTTCTGAAGAGCGGTTTTGAAGCTCAGAGTGAGCTGCTCCACTGTCACCATCTTGGCAGTGTCTGACTCCGCCCCTAACTCCCAGCTAATCCAAAAATGGTCAAAGATGTGGGGTGTGGGTGAAGCTGAGACTTCATTGCATACGCACCTGTCACTAAAAGCGGCCCGCCTTCAATTCTCCATAACTTTAAGTGTTAATAAAATGTAAACAGGTGAGTTATATAAACAGGTGTCATGAAGGAGGAAATTAAGTCTCGAGACCAAAACTGTTTTTGTACCAGGCTGTAATCATGTTTATTTCTGCTGTAAAGTTGGACATTTTAACATGGGAGTCTATGGGGACTGACTCACTGTTGGAGCCAGACTCTGGTGGTCATTAGAGGAACTGCAGGTTTTGGTTCTTCAGTGCTGGCTTCATGTTTCAGCCTCGGAGGTTGATGTTTGGCTATGACCAGGCCCAAGGCAAGGAGAGGTGAAAGGTGTGGGCATAAGTCGAAGAGGAACAGGCCAGCAGGATTGGCCTGAGCTGTGATAAGCAAAGTCCCACCACATCTACAATGGACTACCAAGCCCTTCCCACTTATTCACCGGGCCAAAGTTGACACACCTGCTTTCCCGCTCTGCCAACAGACAGGGATGTTATAGCACATCATCAGCTGCTGCCATAAAGCCATGGGAGAGGGTCGCTATTGTTGGCATCAGGAAGGAAGTAGCGGGGGCCATCTGCCATGAACACCACCAAGTGCTTCCAGCCAGCAAAGACTCATCACACTTGTCAGGACAATACAAACAACCTTCAAACCCGACAATGTCGCACGGTCAGAGCTAAAGAAGGAAGTGGTGATACTGGAGCTCACTGTTCCCTGGGAGCCAATCAGAGGAGGAGGACCAAGTATGAGGACCTGATAGAGGAGTTTCCAGAGCCGGTGGGTATAATAGTGTTAGCTAACCGTCGTTGATCTTAATGGGGTTGACTAAATAATAACGACTGGACTAGATTAGAATTTTTAATGATAACCAATCATTTCTATGATGATTTGAGAAAACTCTCTGTGGTCAGAACAGATGTAGATCATTCTTATTTTTTTCTAAAACACCTCAGGCCTACTGTCTGTCTCTGTTGCTGCATGTTGTCTCCAGCAGAAGGAGTCAGTCTTGAGCTTCACTGCAACATGCTGAGAGTCACACTGACGCCTCATGTAAAGGGCGAGTGTTTGCAAATATGAAAAGGTTTCTAGAAGATGTCTAGAAATGTCAGATATCATCCCACAAATTTAAAGAGAGAAACAGCATATTGTGGGGAGCATAAATAAAACCAGACTAAGAAATGCTGTGTATAACTCCCATTATTAATAATAATCCCATAAATCCCAAAATTAAAAAATTATTAATAACCCCATTATTTCTTCAGTGTGCAAAAAACTAAATGGTGGTCTGAAGTGATTCCTGTTTTAAGAACAGCAGAAGTCAGACTGAAGAAGAACTGTGTGATACAGACATGAACATGGGATATTTAAGACTGAACAGGAAACGACGAGAGGCACAAGTCTCCAACAGGAAGACGTTCTTAGAAATAAAGCCTACAGTTTCTCCTCAGTACCCAGGAAATGAGTCACATAGAGCAGATTAAAAAAAAACTCCGACAAAGATGAGATCAACCTCCATTTATCATGAGCTTTAAACCAACTGTTCGCACCACTTATAATGAACCAGGGTCTACTTGTGACCCCAGTTTGAGGACTCATCTGAGGCCAAAATGTAGAACATTTTCACATCAGGGGTGCCTCAGTGGCTCACCTGGTAGAGCACATACCACAAAGGCTTATTCCTAACCGCAGCGGCCCAGGTTCCAATCTGACCTGTGGCCCTTTGTTGCATGTCACCCCTCCCTCTCTCCCTGACTTTCCTCTCTCTCAGAATAAAGGTGCAAAAATAACTTTAAAACACATTTCACATCAAAAACTGCAGAAATGCCTGAAGACAATGAATTCAAATTTGAGCATCCAAGAGTCTGAGACACACAGATCAGGTGATGAGGTGTGATCAGGTGATGGTTTCTCCCCGATCGCTCACTTTGGCGAGGCTGCCAGCTCCAGGAAGAGTCCTTGTTGTTCAACTGTGAGACCTTCAATGTAGAAGGACAACCATCACTGCAGCTCTACACTGATCGGGACTTCATGGCAGTGACAGTTTGTAAAGAAGCAGCTAAATGACTGAGACTGAGAGAAAACAGAATCTCTGGTCTGATGAGACCAGGACTGAACTGTTGGGCCTCTACACTAAACGTCATGTCTGGAGGAAACCAGACTACAATTGGTTGCTCCCCTGGAAGTAGAAATGCAACACGACTTTACTCGTGTAGTATAGAAGCCTTGATGGCTTACTGCTTATGATCAGTGTAAAACAGAAGAAGAATGCAGCTGTACCTCCAGCCTTCACCAACTTACTGGAGCTGTGTGTGCCTGGATGGGAAACCTCCAGATACGCCTCAAACGTGGACTCTGGGCTCTCCCTGGAAGAGAGGAAGACAGATCATCAGTGTGGTCTTCTCATGTTATGGAAATATTTATCATTTACATTTCCTCATCTGGCAGCAGCTTTTATCTAAAGAGACTTACAGTGAGGTTCACCACTGAAGCTTCAGAGCAGTAGAGACCTTGGTGTAAGAACTAAGCACTACATCTGTTTAATTAGTGAAGGAGATCAGGTGAAGTCCACAGTAGGAGCTAGTTAGACATGTGGGGGTGTTAGAGGTGTTAGAGAGGAGGTGCTCTGTGAAGAGAGGAGTCTTCAACAGATGCTTGAAGATAGAGGGATGCTCTGCTCTGATAGACTTTGGTAGCTTGTTCCACCATCAGGGAACCACAGACCAGAACAGTCTGGACTATTAAATATTACATATTTATATACAGGATATATATATTTATTTATTTATAGTGGAGCCTCCCACTAAAAAAGATATTTTACTTTAATTAATTTAACAGAAACTATACACAACCAGTTAGGTTGTTCTGCCAAATATTTATTATGACTGAACATTTGTCATTAATTTGAAATTTTCAGCTCCATAGTCATTCTAATATTTAAAATGTGTCAAAGAAGAAAACTATAAGTGCATCAGGGTTTTTAACATCAGAAGTAAAGTGAACTTCATTGTAATGCCATAAATTAAATAATAATAATCAGTACATCACATGCACGCATTAATGCACAGTTGCACTGTGCATAAATCCTGGCTGTACTGCCTGTTTCACCAAGTTCCCAGCTCCTCTGTCGCTCAGTCTGCAAAGAGGTGGTGCAAATGCAGTTAAACTGAAAATGGAGTGACAAATTATCAAGTGATTTGATCCATTTAAAGCTGATTTGATTAGAATAGATTGAAGATAGACTAAATAAAGCGTTATATAATTGCAGTCCATTTGCAATATGATGGAAACAGAGCCATGTTTCATCATTCTGAACACACAACTGACCATTTATCGTTTCAGGAAAGTGGCCTCAAGGGTGGAAGTAACAAAACATAACTGATAAAAATGAATATGAATTAATAAAGTGATGAAATGTATGTGAAATGAAAAACACAGTGATACATTGTCAATTGATTTGATAAAACTGATTGACCTTTTATTTGAAACATTTATTTGAAAGGCATTTTCCCAGCAGAATATTACTACTACTACTACTACTACTACTACTACTACTACTACTAATAATAATGATAATAATGATAATAATCTCTACAAAAACAATAGGTTCTTTGTACCTTCTGTCAGGGACGATTTGGGCCCCGACCTTTGGTGCTCAGGCCCTAAATATGTGACTTTTAAAAGCACCATGCTGTTCCAAAACGTTTTTACTCACACACAGTGTAAGTGCCTTACTACAACGGAGTGTGAAAGCCACATTGAGAAAAAAAAAAAGAAATCTGAAATTTCAAGAATAGTCATATAATGACGAGAATGAAGTCTATTTATTATGAAAATTAAGTTGTAATTTTGAGAATAAAATCATACTATTTCAAGGAAAAAATATTAGGAGATTAAAAATGTGAAATTAAAAATTGATATTACATCAACCAATAAACCAGGTGAAAGAACAGTAAGTGTCAGTCTGAGCTGCTTCTGACAGCTGCTGTTTCTCTGCCTGACAATAGAATAAACTCAGTTTCTGATGATGACAATGATGATGATGAGCCAAAAGATGAAGTCTCTCCTTATTAGTGAAACCTCTGCTAAAGTAGAACTTCACAGGATGCTCCACGTTCCTCATTTTAAAGCTTCTTATAATTCCCCTCTAAAACACAGAACCTACAATTACAACTTTATGCTCATAATATTATGACTTTATTCTTGAAATATTATTTCTTTCTCAAAATTACAACTTTTTTCCTAAATGTGGCCCTAATACTCCATCGACCTTACAGTACTGTCACCTGTGATAAATAATGAAAACATATAAACCTGTATTCTGGCACGTAAAAAAAGACCAACAGCAAATATAAACCTAGCCTTAGTATAGCTGACCTATAACACATTGATCAAAATACATAAATGGATAATAGATAAAACTATTGTATGATCGTGACATGATAATCATCATCATCCCGCTCCCATCTGTAAAAGATCAGAACAGGAACAGTTGAGAGAGCAAATAGAATCATATCTGACTCCACTCATCCAGCTCACCCTCTGGTCCAGATGTTACCCTGCAGGAGAGTCCTTACAAATCACTGCCTTCACAACTTCTCCCCACTACAATCCAAACCTCAAACTCCACCACAGCCGGTTATCACCCTCTGGTCAATCAGTCAATGTGTATATTACAAAGTGCAATTACCTCTATCACTAATAATAAAAAGCATGCCCAGTCAAACAATGGCTGTGTGAGTTTTTCTCTACCTACATGACCTTTTATTAACACTTTTAATGGTGTTTAAAGCAACAGGATGAGGAGAGAACTACAATGAGGTAATCAATGAACTGGACACAAACACATATTCAGGCACATTCACCCCAGAGTCTTACAGGAAATAAGGTGAAACAGGAAAACACCAAACAAACATCAGTTTCCTGAGAGTTGGAATAATCACCTTTGTCCTTCTGAGGATGGAAAGGCATCAGTGACCTTTTCCATAAAGTACAGACAGGTAACACCATCTACTGAGTGAAAAAGACCATATAGCTAGGCTTGGGCAATATCCAAATTGTCTCAAATGATCTCAATACAAATATCACAATGCACCATTATATTATATACAGAGGGGAGCGGGGTTATAGTAATAATAATTATATTGTTGTATTTTATATATAATATATAATTATATCATTGTATTTTATCTTTCAGGTATAAGCGATGTTGCCACTAATCAGCAGTTCAAAGTTTTATTTGTCACATGCCAAGGTCCAACGTACAGGAAGTAAGCAGTGAAATGAGGGTCAGACTCAGCAGCAGCACAGACAAAAAAAAACATATAAAAAAAATATATAAAAATTATGAAAAACACTGCATGTGGTGGGAAATAAATACATTTATTTCACAAATAACAATTAGCCTATTATGGACTATGGATGTATGGAGGTACTTGTCACTTGCAATACTCTACATGCCTGGCCTGCTGTTTCTGCACCACAGCTCCTGCTCAGCTGCTGCTCAACAGACAGATGCTGCACAAACAGTCTACACCAAACTGACTGCTGTCAGAAACAGCAGGACAATGACCCTAAACATCAAAGTAAATCTACTACAGAAAGAAAATCCACCTTCTGGAGTGGTGCAGGCAGAGCCCAGACCTGAACTCAATAGAGATGCTGTGGACTGAGCTCAGAGCAGCACAGCACAGCGTACTGCGCATCTAACATGTAAATATCTCACTGTATAATATAAAATATAACATTTAAAAAAATAAAAATAAACGTACAACAATTTCACACACAGCATACATCTTGCTGTAAAGTATGAAAGTGAGGTATGTTGCTTCCAATGTAGAAACTCTGTGCTTTTACTGTAAATGAATAAAAATAAGTTTGACAAAAACAATGTGCATTGTGCAATATAAGAAAAGACGTGCACTGTGCCTCTCTAGTCTCTACTGCAGGACTTTGCCACATGTTGTTGGCGTGGTGTTAGCTGTAGTAGCAGGAGAGTTGTGAGTAACGCTGTCTGCAGCTGGTGCGCTGGCTATGGGTTTACCACACACACTTTACAGGTATATTAACGCCCAAGTACATTTGCTACTATGTTTGTATTTTAATCGGTCAGAATGAGGCCGTCCGCGATTGATAAACTACTCTTTACTCGCTCCCCTGTACCTCTTGGTTCTGCTAACACGCAGAGACTAAAAGAAAGAGAGAAAGCGGGAAAGAGGGAGGCACATGGTGTTACGTTAGAAGATGTGGACACAGTGGATACTGAGCGATACTGAAGTCAGTTCTCAATGGTTCTCAAGTGGTCAGTTAAGCTGCTGCAGGTATGAGACAGCTGAGGGAGAGGCAGAGGCAGCAGGTCACAGTGTGGTGAGAGCAATATTTGTTGTTGGTAACACTAACTAACGAACAAACCTACAGTCCTCTACTGTGTCACTTTAGTCTTGAAAAAACAATCTAAACAACTAGCTCTCTCTAGTTCTCACTCCACTCTGTTTGAATGCTATGTTTGTGTACACTCTGGATTCCACCATTGTATTGTTGTGCGTCCATGAATTTGGGGGGCGGAGCACTGAAGGGAAGGGTGTTTTTTTGGTTTTTTTTTTAGATCAAAATATCTACAACTGAGATAAATATCTACAGTTTCTCAGACTCTCAGAATTGCTTATTCTACCTTCAACTGTTACATATGTTCAACAGGTTTAGTGCTTACCAAATGCATGTTTTCCAATGAGGCCTGGAAGTTGTACGGCATCATTTGCTCTGATAAATACTTTGGATTTTTTATGGCCAGTCATTGAATAGTGAGAAATGGGACTGGAATCGCTGCAATTTGAAATGTTTCTGTTCAATATATAATTGAAAGTAAGTAGTAAAGGTGTTTACTTTATCTATTCTTTACTGTGATTCTGCTGTGAACATCAGTGGTTAAAAAAGGGTTTATTGTGTATTTTATAAATGATTAATGATTGTTAATTGTTAATGATTAACATAAATTGCTTAAAACCCCTAATTGGGATGTCTGACCAACAACAAAACGGGTTTGATGACACACTTTTGTTAATTATCAACATGTCCCACACAGCAGGCGCGCCATAATATGACCCTGCTTACATGCTGATCCTGACATGTCATTGTCTGCATTCTGCAGAAATTCTCTTACTAATAGGATTTCTACAACTTTCTATGACCCAGTTCTGTCAAATTGCTTGAGCAGTGTTACTGCCTCTGTGCAGCTAAATGAAGAAGTTCTCTGCTTCATAAAGACCAAAGAGTCTTTACTGTGTTATATAACTGTGATGGTACAGATGTGACAGTCATTTTTCTGCAATTATAATAACTCATAAACAACTGACTAAAATTTCTTAGTCTAACAACACCTAATGACAGTTTAGCCATAGATCTGTAATATTTACATGGTGTCAGAGGAATCATTAGGCTACAGTTAAGCACAAGGACATCTGTCAGACCCCTGCATCTCTGCTCTGAACTTCAGACCTGAAAACCGGCATCAGGTTCAGGATGATCATCTGACACAGATACCATGTTTACACTGGCTGTACATACACAAATATGTTCCTAACTCACTGTAAGTCATCTCTGTCTCAGCCTGTGACAGCCTGTAGAGGACTAGTAGAGCTCAAAACCATAAGAGACGTAAATGCATTGTTTTTCCGGTCAGTACAGTGGTGAGCCACCAGTGTTTTTAGCCTGTGTCGCAACAAGTCAGGGCCTCGCACTGTACTGTATCTTTCCCAATGACTCACAGGAACAAAGCTAACAGAGCAGCAGGCCGCTAACAGCCTCCGATAAACGGGCGGGTAAACATTCTTACTTTATTCGGGACCCCATCCTTATTCCTCGCCCCGCCGTCGCTGGCAGCCGATATCAGTGCGCAGACGCGTCTGTCCGGAGATGTTTTTCTGATGCTAGCCTGTCACACAGAGCTCTACTACGCCATGGTGTGTCCACACGCGTAGATCACGCTCTGCCTCGCGCAGCTCTCTGGGACTTGTAGTTCCATTGTGGAGGACGGGTGAATTTGCAATACGGAGTAACACAGCGAGAGAAACTACAGCTCCCATGATACGTGTGCTGCCGACGAGTGGGTCGCGTGATAAGATTCATGCCTGCCGTTACTTACCCGTTACTTACCCCAGTAGCGGTTAATTGAGGTTTTATGGGTGATTAATAACCAAAAATGTACTTACACCAAGGTACCACCAGGTGATAAGAACTTATTTGAGGTTCTTTTGGGAAGCTCTACACACACACACACACACACAGACATATATATATTGACAGAAACACACAAATACCATCTTCACGATTTTGATTAACCTGCAAAATAAAAGTCTTAACATGGTAAGAGGGAATTATTGGCTGTTTTACAAAACCTTTGTGCAATTTATACTGACAAACACAGAAGCACAGACACTTTCAAAATAAGAGTCTCAAAAAGGTAAGAGGTAAGGTAGGTAATAAAAGTTCAATCTTAGAAGCTATCGTCTATATGGGGATATAGTGGTATAGCTTTATTGCAGAACAACTTCTGTTAGGGCATGTACATGTGTCTATACATGTCTTGCTGTGGTTGTGGGGACAAGTTTGGGTTTGAAACCATCAGTGGGAGGTTATTTTGACCAGTAGTGACAGCTTCAAAAGGCTTTTTGAGGGACACCTGCAGCGACTGAGGTCAGTGTCAGGATGAGTCTTTACGACATGAATGAAACTGAAACGTCATTTGTACAGATTGAAATGTGAGGAGTGAAGCACATGCACTAAGCAGCAGGCACATTCAAAATTTCTCCAGGAATTTTCTAATTATCATTATAATTACTTCATGCATACTCAATGTAGAAAGGTGTTGAATATAGCATTTGAACCTGCCTCTCTGATAGCAATAAGAAATTTCTGGCCCAACATGCATGATTCCTCCGCCCAAGTCTGGCCCTGGCACTTCCACATCTGGGCAGTTTCCAGCTGTTTTGGTGTTGTCTGCCAGCTTCAGGTTTTTCTCTGTGTGTGCGCTAGAATTGATCCAGATGTGGAAGCAGCATCAGACAATCATACTGTATATGAACAGATTCAGGCCATCCCATACAGAAATGTAATATATAACATATACAGTATGTACCTATAGCAAGAGTGACGTTGCCATATATGTTAACTATATTCTTATCACATACATCCTCTGGATGTACAAAGATATAAGTTTATAACATATAATGAAATAACCATGGTAAAATTTTTATATGTACATATATTACATATATCTATGATGAATTTTTATATGGTATAACATGCTGCAAGCATATATGCTAATAATATATAGTTAATGTATGGAAGTTTATTAACAACATAAAAACAAAATTCTATATGTTTATATATGTTTTTATTATTAATTTCTCATCAATTTTAAACATGTCTATCTTTTCATTCAGACTTTTAGACCCTACTGTTATAATATCAAGATACATTCAAAGGCTTTGGGATGCATATATATTAATATATGTCTACAACATAAGGATACATACATAAACATGCATATTTGCATGGGATAGATATGTATGTCAATATATGAAATTGTTCAAATTTTTCAAATATTGTTTTTATGTACATGTATTTCATATTTGGAAATTCAGTACATGTACAAATATTACATTTGTCTATGGGATGGAACTGGGCGTGTAGTAGGCCAGAAGAAAACAAGCACGTGGTCCAACTATGGGCCGGATTTATTGCGTTGAGGTTTTCGTGAGAATAATGACTAAGAAGTGGTCCTGTGGTTATGTTATTTGATCATTAGGGGACACCTTATTATGTAAAGGTCTTATTTTTGTAAATATTACAACAATATTCTCTACATAGGAGGTCTGTGCAGGCCTGTTGATGATGACAGTTTGTCACAATAATAATGGCATCAACAGAAATAACATTATTAACTAATGCATTCATGTATTTTCACTTACATTAATGTGTATGCAGCATTTTAATGGTGCAGCTTGTAAAGGCTACTTCGGGGTGTGTCAGTACTTGGTGACATCACTTTTACACAATTATGACAACAGCCAACCACACTGAAATACCCTGTGTCCCAATTCAGGGGCTGCATCATTCAGAGGTACAGTATTTGAAGACTGATTGCGTTACAGTGGTGCGACTAGACTGTCCCATTTCAAAGGCTCCTTTAATGAAGAAAGAAATGTGTCTTTCTCCTGGGCAACGAAGGCTCCAACGGACAGATTTTTCATGGCCCAACCTATCCCAAGATTCATCGCGTTCCGGTAATGAAAATAATATGGCAGCAAACAACAATGACAGAGAGCCTGAGGATTACACTTTCAAATGATCAACAGCTAATGATATAACTGTTAAAAAACTAATGGCCTTGAAACTTCAAGTTAAAAAAAAAGAAGAAAAAGTGTTGTCAAGGTTGCTAGGCGACAGGCGGGGCGCTTTGTAACGCAACTGCACAGCTGGTGATGCAAAGCGTAAAATCCTAGTCTACGAAATACAGTGGCCCTGAGAAGTCCCCGCGCTGCAACTTGAGAAGACACGTTCATACAGACAAAACACAAACAACTTCAGGAAACATCTTCATCAGTTTGGCAACACACGCGCTCAAAATATTCACAAACACTACCAAATACAAGAACACACTGCAAGTAGCTCAGACAAGGTTTTCCGAGGGGGTTAGGGTTAGGGTTAGGGTTAGTCCAACACTTTTGTGTACCGGTACACAAAAGTGTTGGACTTGGCTGGGACACGGTTATTTTTCAATGCTTTGTTTTCAAGTTAAATGTGTTGAACAAGAAGTGTGTCCCAGCCAGGTTCATCACTTTTTTGTGTTCCCTGTGAGCACTTGCAATGTTGTTTGTGCCGCTTATAGCGTATTTCTGTATTTGCTTGTCTTGTGTGTATTTGTAACACGTTTGCTTAAGTTGTAGTGTTGAGCTCTCAGGGCCAAGATAACGATGGTTACAAAGACATAGACTGTATCCGCCGAAAGATGCGGCCCCCGCATTAGGATATAGTATTTGTGTAAATAGTGACAATTTTATGTCAGGAAAAACAAAGAAAAACATTCAGTAAATGACTAATGGCTAATGACTTTTACTGACATAACTTATTCCTGTAGTGCGCCGGAACAACTGTCCTCTACTTATATTCTCCAAGTGGTAATAAATAAAATGTCCGTCGTTCACATGATCTGGTTGATATGTATATACATTTTAAGAACATGAAGATCCGATCACTTAAACGTTTGTCATGTAGAGAGCTAATAAAAACTAATGAAATGGTCAAAGTTGTCATATTTACATTGAGGTGTAATGATTGATTTCCAAACATCAAGCATGCATCAAGTAACAAGGGGGGCATGTCGCAAAAGAAGCAACAACCCCATACACAAATAGAAAGCTCTACATATAAATTCATAAATGCATGAGGTCATTATAAAGATCAGCCATACCTGTGATTAAGACAGAGCAGAGGAGACCGTGGCGTGCACCAGCGCGCTGGTACTGAAACAAAGAGAGCTACACAGTAGAAAACACTGTTAGAAAACAGCTTTTACATAACAGAAGAATACAAAATATTAGAAAAAAGACTTAACCGGTTAAAATATCCTGATCAATATAACCTTTTGCAGAGTTTTCACACCTATATATTTATTGAGGTGGGGGTGTTGATGGTTCTTATGACCTCAATAAATTTGACCACTTGACCGCTTTTTAAATTTTGGCTGCGGCCCTGATTCACTGAATTGTGCTGTTCTTATACTCTGTGTCACGTGCATAAAAACTCTCACATCATACATCATGAACAATGGCCCCATCCCACGTGCAGGGGGCTGTCTATGGAGGAGAGAGGGAGATGACGTTTGACCTACTTTCCAACAAACACTTGCCTCAGCCTCACCGCACTATGCGGAGGGTTTACACTTTGAAGTCTCCCTCCACTCATTCATTAAGTTGTCTCTGCAAACTCTGTTGAGCAGCCTGCGTGGCAGCGCAACACACATACACACACCCACACACATAGAGAGAGAGAGAGAGAGAGAGAGAGAGAGAGAGAGAGAGAGAGAGACTCGAGGGAGGGGGTCTGTCTGTCGGTGTGCGGAGTTGCACAACAACACGGAGGATCACTGTAACTGTAACTCGTGGAAACTGTTCAAAGATTTCAAATAAGCAGGACGTTTGTGACTCCTCTTCAGGTAAGACACGCAGCTCTCACTGTAAACAACTGTCTCCAGCTCATCGGTGACGCCTTTAGAGGTTGTTAAGGTCCAGTTTATGCACCAGCCATCTTTGTTGATATTTATTAATGTGTGTTTGTATCGCAGTAAACCGCCTCACCGAGCAGGGCTCAGTCTGTTTACTCTCTCTGGAAAGGCTGCAGGAGCCAGTTAGTACATACCTAGCTAGGAGCAGCGTTAGCCTGCTGCTCCGGGACCATATGGAAATGATATTTACCCGCTGCCCTGGACGGAAACGAGGCTGTATTGATTCCTGCTAACTGCTTTAAACATGTTTTTTTTTCTCAGTTTTAAACAAGAGCTGTATGTAGTCTGTGCTGTATCAGGACAGGACAGAAATCTAATTCAGAAGTTTAACAAAACAGCATAACATTAAGACTAAAATTTAATTCTAGTTAATTTTGTCACATTTCAATTTACATGTGTCCACTGCCAAGTCAATGTATCATTCGGCTGCCTCAGTCCAGCTGGTGAGTGTGTTTATCTAAACATAAAAGAGCTATAATATTGAGGTATTCATTTCATCTGTGCAGGCTATTCTTTCATAACAGGAAACCACTGCAACACATTGCCAACTTCTGCAGTCTCTGGGTTATTTTTCCTCAAAGTGTCAATTTTTTTATATTTTTGGATAAAACAAATTTGGACTAATATTTAATTACATTGCAATGCACCATGGTCACCTTCTACCTTCTTAAGTTAGTGAAGAAGGTGTTGAATATGGTTTATGGTATAAAAAATGTAAAATCAGTGATAGTTTATTGCACATGCCCCTCCATTAAGGAAAACAACATGTTGACATGTTGCAGGCAGTGTGAAAGCAGAGCCTCATGTCTGGTGAGGGGTTTGTGGGTATAAATGAACATTACATACATTACATGAAACGGTAGCAGCAGGGAGTTAGGGGGGAGGACGCTGGCTGCAGTGTGGGGTGGTGTCGAAGGGGTGGTTGCTGGTGGTTATGAGGATGCCTGGGCATCCAAGGTCAAATAACTGGCTAAAATTAGTCACGTGTCAGCTGTGACAGGGAGTGACAGTGTCCTGTTTGACTGGGAGGGCTGGTTAGTATCCACCCAGCAGGAAGCCATGCGCTCACACATCCTCACTGAGTATTATTAATTCTGCTCTGTCATTCTGTAGCAGTTTGGCCATTTTAGGTTTGCATTTTTGCATGTTTTATGGACATTAGATTTTGGAGACAGGTTTTAACCCACAGATTGTTATTCTGACACTTACATATGTCTCGTAAGTCATTGTTATGAGTTGGTTTAGTTTCCATTGAGCAGGGTGGTTCCTATGAATTATTAAAAAGCTGTAAAACATCTATTTTTAATGTTTTAAATTCAAGATTCTAAACTATCTCTAATGAAGGGAGATAAATATATGTTTCTATTTTAGTTCCATTTAAATGTCTGGTGTTGTGTTCCATTACGACCCTTTCTACTGATTTATTTGGAAGATTAACAGCCCACTCTCTGCTCAGTAGGAGGCAGTCAGCTTTGTGTGATCTCTCTATTTGTACATTTTTAGAAAGAATGTGTTTCAGACTGAAATGATGCCAACTTTAACTTGCAGGCTACATTGGCTGCCTAATCCATTTAGCAGTTCTTATGTGATATAATATGATATTTATAAGTAACAACAAATTGCAGCACAGATTTAAAAGATATGCTTGAGTTAATTTAGCAACAGTGTTGCTGTTTCATAGTTTAGCCACCAGAGGGCACTGACAAGTTTGTTTTTCCACTGTCAGTCATTCTTTGAACAAAAGAAATTTAAGGTAAACAAAGTTATTTACAGTAAACAAGCTAAACATTTTGGAAAAATGTTTGCGAAAATTCTGTTTATATAAAAATTAATATCAAATAAATAATATATATATTAAATATCAATTTAGTCTGCCTCTTTTAGTCTAGATTATTAGTTTATTTAATAATTTTTTGGCACTGAAATTGCCCCCTTTTTTTTGCATTTTGGAGGTAGTAAATAGTCAGCTAATTTTGTTAGTGTTATCTTGCCAGCTATATTGCTTTAGCTGCTGTTATAAGAGTAAGGCTGATACAGTAATGCTACAGCAGTATATAGTAGAGTATCTAGCGTTATGTGCACTGGCTGCTGTTGTTTTATGATGAAAGTTAACTTGAGGTAGCTAGCTAGCTACAAATGCTGGTGCTTTGTGCGTGTAGCTACCAGTGTTTTCAGGTAACCTAACCACAGTTCACTCGATGTGTCACTAATGCTACATGCTAGAGTTAGATATATGCTAGATAACCAATTAATTGCTAAATGGCCAACACTCCAGCTTGTCATCTGTGAGGTTTTCTTGCTATTCTTATTTGATATTGATTTTTATCACATCACACTGGGCTTTAGGAAACAGTGACAGACATTTTTCCATGTTTTGTGGCATTTAATGCACCAAATGATTAATCTGTTATTGGACAAAAAAACCTGTTGATTAGATGCTATAGGGTTTTCAGGCTGTGAGTCTGATCTGCATGGAACTTTGCACACTGAATCTACGGATTCTCACGAATAACAATTATCACATTTATTAACATGAAACTTGGCTCAGTAGTTTTCTATGCTACACTGAATCTTGGTGCAAATTAGGCTACTCTTAGGCTGTGCATGCGATCTGCATGAAACTTTGCAGGTGAATTGTGGGCTTTGACCCTGGTAATATCCTGCCCGCAGGTCTAGTTGTATTTGTACTTGTATGTAGATACTTTGACTTATGTGAGCTTATGTAAAAGTATGTGGTGTTGTAGAGTATTCACTAAGGGAAGAACTTCTGAAATCTATCTTCAAGACATTTATTTTTTTTATTTTCACAAATAACCACAGCTCTCTGCAGTCAAGTTAATTTGTTTTATTATTTTTACTTAATTCACTGTTGACAATTTGGGTTTAAAACAAGGTCAAATTGTATTAAAATAATTACAGCCAAAATTTTGTGTCAGATGATCAATAGGTCTGATAATTTCCTGTGCAGAAAGGAAGAAAATGTCAAGTCAATTACACAACTTTCCAAAAAAGATTAATGAATGAAATAAAGCCCTGACTTGAACCATTCAGTAAAGAGCCTGTTGGGATGTTGAAAGATAAAACTGATCAGAAAGCGTCTGAAAGGAAGCTGACAGACCAAGAGATGACTAACAGATGAGATATTTTGGTATCGAGAACAAGGAACTTAGTTGTGTTTCAGTATATTGCACTAGAGGAGAGACTCTAGTATGCATAAATGAAAGGAACAGTTCAAGTGATTTATGTGCATAAAACTACTTTTTTTTAAGGTTGCAGTATTATGCTAACTCATATGTAGACAACAGCAGAGCAGGAGGTGGATTATGGGGCTCCAGCCCCAGATGTTGTCACATGACCCCTGTTTTTCATATACAGTAACTTAGGCTTTGTGTCATTCCTCGTCAGTCTGTCTGAGTGAACCTGCAAATCAATGCAGCTCTGTTACTGGTGATATACCACCATCTATAGGTCAAAATGACTGACAGAGCAAAGAGGAAAGAACAGGAGAAAACCTGTGGAGCAGGAGAGCAAGCAGGATGAGATGGCGTGGGGAGTAAGAAAAGAGAGGGGATGAGAAAAATATGTGATGAGGAGTCAGGAGGAGAGGAAATGAGGACAGACGTGAAGGTGGAAGTATAGATTTGAGGAGTGAGGAGCAGAGGGGAGGAGTGAAAGAGAAAGTGAGAAAAATAATGAGGGAGAGAACAGGAAATGAGATGTGAAAACCTGTGGAGGAAGCAAGTGAAGAGGAAGCGGGCTAAGAGAGGAGAGGAGCTAAGAGGCGAATCTTCTTACATCTTTAGTTTTTGATTAAAAACCTCAATACTTTTTTGTTTTATGTGTATCTTCCTCTTTGAATGGAGGGATAGATGAGTGGAGCTGAGAGTGAGCAAAGAGGAAAAGAGGAGGAAATAAGAGCAGACCAGGAGTAGATCAAATGAAGTACTGTAACATAGTATGATCATGGTGTTAATCTTACTGTGCTATTCCATAAAGAAATCTGCTATAATTTGAGTAAAATATTATTCTCTTGGCCCAGTGTTAAATTCAGATGGGCAAGCAGAGCCAAACAACCATGTGGGAGTAGAGTCCGAGTGGAAGTATGCTCACCAGACGTCTGTAGCCCACTCCACATCTCTGATTGAGGCTCCAGGCTACTTTAAAGTCTACTGGCATAGTAACAAACCCCAAATCTTAAACCAAACTATCGGCGGTCAAGTTGCATTGTGGATAATGTAGGTTTTGACAAAAGATGGAGTAATTTGTTTGCCCATGAGTGTGTCAGAGGTTTTAGGTCTGTTACTGCGGTGGTTGAGAAGATGCACACTATAGCTGGTTTGCCTTAGACTTTGATATGCAGTGAAAACTCTGACATTTCCCACAGTAAAGAGAAGAGTTGTATATTTCTATTTGTTTAACCCAGCTTCCAGCAGAAACAGTTACCTGGAGGACGACAGGACATTCTCAGTCCGTCTGTCACTCAGCGAGTAGAGGAGTGGTGAGTCATTCATTCCCAGAGGTCCTCTGTGTGCACACTGCTGCAGGGCTTTGTGCAGTCTGACCTCGTTTGGCCTCAGCGCTTCATTTACCATCTGATCCTATTTGCATATTTACTTTGTGTCTCCTCTGTGCTCACAGTGAGGCAGAAACATAGTGTGTGCTTTAGCAGATGAATGTTGTTCAATGAGCTCGAGAGTCCAGTCACTACATCTCTGCTCCACCCATGACTTCTGTTCTCTTCCCCTGACTCGGCTTCACTTCCATTGTTGTTGTTGCTGCATTGTTGCATGGGCATTTTCAAATACATCTAATTTTTCTTGTCTTGAACCAAGTTAAAAACTGGAGTCACCACCTTGTGGTTGTATCCCTCCTCCACTCAGACTTGTTTCAGGTAACATTCCTCATATAAAATATTAACAATTTATTTGAAA